TAGTAGCGTCCTTGCTCCTAGTAGTAAGGCCAGGAGCCCCTAGTAGCATTCTTGTTCCTAGTAGTATGGCCAGGAGCCCCTAGTAGCTTTTTGTTTCTAGTAGCCAAGGTAGACTTCATTGCACCCTGGAATGGAGAGAGGATCTCACAGGCGGGACGTCGATGGGACGACATCAAGGCGACCATGGTGACATGGTGACCTTTTTGAATTGTTTGCCATTGGACCGACTCCGAAAACAAGATCTGAATGGGTTTAGGTATGTTTAGGCTCTTTATTCTAGAACAATTCGATAAAGCATTCTTGTTGAACATGTCGTGAACAGCTGAATTCGCAAAGAGAGCAGCATTTGCCATTTCTCATGCAGCTTTCGACTTAAGAGCTCCGGTGAGGCATCGAATCCGCCGTTGCCCAGCTCCACAGTGACTCGTTTGAGAAGTCCACTCACTGCTTTTTGCTTTCTGTCGTAATTTGCATTTGTGACCCTTGTGGTCCATGGTCCAACTCTGTAAGGTGAGGTTGTCTAACTCTGCAGAGACAGAACCTGGTTCTATGATGCCGTGATCTGTAATGGTCTTGGTAATAGAATGTAATACATAGCACTCTGAAGCAACTCAGGGAGTCTTGTCGCGTCCTGCGACGCCCGCAACTCACGCAACGTGATGCCAAAAACGTCCGTGTCCAGAGATGGAGGCACTGCTCACACTGCTCACCGTCTTGAGGTCGAAAACGGAGGGTGAACTCCTTCGCAGAAAATACTGTAGTAGCTTCTAGTTGCTAGTAGCGATGGCCTCCACCTAGTTAGTAGCTTCTTGTTACTAATAAGGAACAGGGTGTGTTCTGTCAACTTTGCCCCAAAGGTGGCAACTCCTGCCACGGTAGCGTTTTTGTGAGGTTCGGTGCCGAGGCCGGATAGCTGTAGGTGACGTGTGCCCCTTTCCTGGTTCTATTCACTAAAATTACCTAAGGCTCCCATCTTCAAGTCCCTGGGCTGCTTTTCTACAGATTTGCCCCCTGCGACATTGGCTTGGAAGCTCTACGACAAAGCCTGCATGAGGAGTAGATGAGGGAGAGTTTTTTTCTTTTACAGATGCTAGTTTCAGAAGAAAGAAGAGACATCAAATGAAAAAGATTATAGTCTATACACATGTGGTCAGAAGATGTCACATGTCAGTTTCATAGATTGTCAAATTGTCGTCAAAACGCCATCTCGCTCGAGTCAGCCTGGCCAGTACCCAGCATTTCGTTCCCGTTTCAAAAGACATGTCAATGTGTCAACATATCTCCACCTAGTGAGCCTAGAGCTGTCTACAAGCACGAGTTCCATGACTGCCAAGAACCAGTAAATCACTCACTCAAACGACAAGATGCACCAGATGGTTTGTGCGGGGTAATTTCACTCACAGTCTTTTGTGCCTCTTTGGGTGGAGCTCCAAGGATATGCGTGACTTTATCGTGACCTATATCGTTACTAAAGGGCATTTCTACTAGGAGCGGCATCGCTACTGGAAACAAGAACGCTACTAGGGGCTCCTGGCATCTCTACTAGGAGCAAGGGCGCTACTAGGAGCAAAGGGCATTTCTACTAGGAGCGGCGTCGCCACTAGGAACAAAAATGCTACTAGGGTCTCCTGGCATCGCTACTCCCTGTCCAATTCTGAGCTTCTGTCACGCCGTAGGAGCGGTGCCGGCTGTGGCGGGCTACCCTTCTATCGCTTGGCCACTGGGAGTCCACGGACCTGTGCAGAGTTCTGTGGCATGGCGAGATTTTCGTGTATCAGGAATTCTGAGGCTTCTGAGTGCTTGAGATTGTTTGCTTAGTGTAGTGAGAGCTTCAACTTCGAGATTGCGCTGAGGCTTGAGCAAAAGCCTCGATCTCTCTGGTGTTCTGGATGGTGTGCAGTGCCGCTGTGGGGCCTCGGCCAAGCATCCGTGCCTTGGCGCACAAGCATAGGAACGGAAAATCCAAACGCCAATGTGTACGAATGACATGCACTCTTCTTTTTTAGGTCGTTTCGGGCAAGTAGTTTCCATAGTTGTAGGGCGTGTTTGGCTTATCAGATCCAAGATCCTGCAGTAGTGAGGGGCAGGCGGCAGGAGGGTGTGAATTTTTGGGTTTTGCAGATGATGAACGACGGGTTCTCCAGAAGCTGCATTTTGTTTTTCTTTTTAAATCAAAGCCCACTTCTTACGTTTGTCCATCGAAGTAGTAGGGCAAGGGAGGCGGGGTGTTGAAAAAATGGCGCACTGTTTTTCCACGTTTGGTCCAGATCACTCAACCCCAAGTAGGAGATGCTCCCAGTCTGTCACTGTGAACCCAGGGCACTATTTGTTCAACGGGTGCGTCGTGCTTTGGGTCCGCATCACCACCCAGCCCACCACCGCGTTGCCCAAATCGGATCTTTGCAGCTCTTGTCGGACTGTCGTGCGCCGAAGCCCGTTATACTTTGGATGACAACCCCCAGCGAAACCTCCAAAGTGTGCTTTGATTTCTGTAAGCAATGCAAAATGTAGGAAAACACGGCGAGCCCGATGCACGTGCTAGAGTTCTTTCTTCCAACTCGATGGGTCAATGGGTTTTGGTCTTGGTTCTCTTTCAGGCTGTCCACAGGAGCTGGATTAGTCGGGAAAAGAGCTTGTTGGTCTATTCGAAGCGACAGTGCCACTGAGGATTTGGCACACACGTGCTAGGCCAGACCTGCAACTTTGCTGGCAAAGCGAGCCAAAGTGTTCGATTTGTCAAACATGGCTTATTTGTCGGCAAACATGTTGCTCCGGAGATGGTTTGCAAAGATTCTGTCCCACAGTTGCATGTATTAAGATTCCACACCACAAAATTGGAATTCATTTAGTTCGTTTCTGACGTCAAATAATCCAAAGTCAAAAGTAATAACAGTACTACAGTACTGCCTCGATTGAAGAGACAAGCAGGACCAAGTACAGTAGATGTCCAAGAACTATGTAGACAGTCTTCGACGTCCGGTGCGTCGCAGAAATCCTTCGACAAATCCCGGTGCTCGCTATGTCGACTGAGGCAGTGGAGTCTTGACTGCAAGTGAAGCGTTGAGTAACAAGAAGCTATTAGGAACAAGTGCATCGCTTCTAGTAACAAG